GAGAAAAAATATCAAAAACTCAAATAAAAAAATCAAAAACAAACAAAAACACGGAGACAAAACAGCTGAAATCATATAGGGCCAGGCATGGTGGCTCATGCCTGTAATCCCAGCACTTTGGGAGGCTGAAGTAGGAGGATTGCTTGAGCCCAGGCATTCAAGACTAGCCTGGGCAACATAGCAAGACCCTATCTCTATGAAAAACAAACCACCACCACCAACACGAGCAACAACAACTGTTACCACACAAATACAAAGAATCATTAGAGATTATTATAAAAAACTATATGCTAAAAATTGGAAATTCTAGAAAATATGAATAAATTGCTGCACAAATACAATCTACCAAGATTGAACCACGAGGAAACGGTAACCTCAAGGAAACAATAAAGAGTAATGAGGTTGAAGATGTAATCTTCCTACCTTAGTACATCAATGATCAAGAAGGAGAAGAAACAGAGTATGTATGTATGACGGTCATTCCTTTTTTGGGATTGTACATGTCTCAGTTCAGAACTTCAGTCCAAGCTCTTTCTGATGATGTTTCTTATCATCTTTCATATATAACCTCATTAATTTCATGAATTATTTATTAATTTTCGTTAAACCTCAGGTATCAAGAAGACAGGAACTCGTTCCCCCTTTACCATGCCACAAATCAAGTAAATCTGTCAGTAAGTCATTCCATTTTTCTGCCCATAAATTGGCATAATGTAAAAAGGGGTATTAATGTTAGAGATATCATGATTTCAAAATCTTGATCAAATATTTGTGGCATATAATTGAATTTTCTTACCCCCATTTGATCCTATGTCTCTTCATCCATTAACTAGTACCACTTCTATTTTTTTCAAATTGAAGAGCATATATGTGTTGTGTTTTTAGAAAGTCTAGTTAAAAAGGGAAGTAAATAAAAGGTAACTTTGGCTATTTTTTTCTTTTGTTATAGTTGTCCTGTTTTAAAATATTTAATCATTGTGTGTATGTTAAGAGTGTGAAGATTACTGACATTTGCAGCCAGCAGAGGTATTTTTTTTTTAGTCGGTTTCATGTCCCTTATTTGGAGAAGGTAGTCAGGCCATTTTGTTATTCTTTCTTCCAGAATGACTTTTGAAAAGAAAATCCCATGCTGCTTACTAAATCAATGGCCTTTTCAACTTAAAAAATCTAACTTATTGAAGTCATGTTTCTGAGAATTGTGGAGAGATGTTAAAAAGAGGAAATATCTCTGAGCTAACAGGAAGAAAGAAGGGCAATGCACATCCTGACCATGTGAAAAATCACAATTTGCAAATACGGGGGAAAATAGGAGCCTTTTCCACTGCAAAGTTGGCTAGATATTGGTGTATAAGGGCTTGGTGCTGTCAACAAAGATGCTAGATCTTAAGTACAGACGACCTCCAGCTTCAAAAAAGACGTGCTT